CCCCCCCCCCCCCCCCCGCGTCGTTGTCCTGATCGAAGAAGATGAATGACCGGTTGCTAGGGTTCAAGAGCCTAGCCTGATCCGGATTATTTCATCCTTCGTATTGAATTGTGTACTCTGTATTATTTTTGTTGATGGGTCTTAAATTGGGTTTTGGTTTGGGTCAAAATAACTAGATATTCCCTCCGTCTCTAAATATTTGTCACACTTGTATTCCAAAAGCAAAATATCAAATTTTTTCAATTCATTTTATTTACATATTGGTATGGAAATAAAAAATAAAATTTACATATCAAAATACTACATGAAAAGTTCTTCGAAATAAGAGGTGTCAAGAATATTTTATTTTATCAAATAACCAATGAAAACGTAGAAATAAACAAAAGTTCCCGCGACTGCTGAAAAAGCAAATGTTGTAAATATTTTGAGACGGAGGGAGTATAAGATATAGTAGCAATATTAAACAATTGCCACAATAGGTCTAGTATTTTGTGGCAAATTTTTAATAGCCACAAATTATTGTGTAATATTTATATTTTGTGGCAAATATTTATTTTGCTACTAAAAGTTAGCCACAAAAAGTCATATTTTTGGTAGTGTTTATAATATAAAAAAATTATAAAATTTATTAATTATAAAAACAATGTTTCTTATAATTTTTAAAATTATCCACCAACTCAAAAGAAACTATTATATGTAAATTTTATCACACATGCATCTTTATTAACTTCATAACATATTTCAATTTTTTGTCTTATTACATTATTTATTTTAGGAAAATTAACCTAAATAGTAATAAACATAGTGACTTTCCCAATGTAGTACCATATATTTTTATTTCCCAATAGGTCATTGTCCACTGATCATTATTCAAGTAAATGTCCACCGTCACTGGACATTGTTCAAACTAAATGTCCACCATTACTGGACATTGTTCCTGTCACTAGACATTATTCAAATATTATTTAGGGAATCAAAAAATCTCGCCACTATACATAATTAGTTATATATCTAAAAAAAGATTTTATAAACTTTATTAATCTTTTAAAAAATAAAGCTTGATGTGGCTTTTAATAAACTATTCATTATTTTCCCTTTTATTACATCTCAAAATAAAGATTTATATAAATTTTAATACATGTACATCAATATTAAAACTAAAACTTTTTTCTCAAAATTTAGATATATGTGAGCCCGTGCTTCGCACGGGGTTAATACTAGTATTCTCATATAAGCTCATAAAAATGTGAGAAATCCACACTTTAAATGTGAACTTTGGAACCATGTAAGCATCACGCCTCCTAATAACATCTATTGGACTTGAATGCTAAACCTCGTATATGTTTTGATGTACGAAATAAGTCTTCCAAAAGCTACTAACACTTTCACAGGATAAACCTAACGTCAAACATCTCCTAACTTGATTCGCATCATCAAGAAGATACTCCTACGAGCGTAGAAAACAAATATGTAAGGGTTTTGATATTTATGATGAATCACTTATGACCTTACACTCAAAATACTTTTTCTAAATATTTCCAAACATCATCTTAGTTAGGGTTATTTTTAAAAGAAACAAATGATGGACAAGAATTCCACTAAATAATCTGACTTGATGGGCAGATCGTAAAAACAATTTAGAAATGAGAACTCGAGAATTATGGAATTGTACACTAGGTTTAGCTTGAGGTTTTCCATTCGGATCCTCTCTATTTATACATATCCCTTTACATAATTAAGGTAATTATTAATTATGGAAACTAATCCCGTGATTCGCTCGACCCTATTTCTTCGGCTCTTTTCCCGCAACCTAGTCGCGTCCTCCTTCTCCGAAGTTGGTGTTAGTTCCATATTGTGTTGGCATTATTTTTTGACAAACGAATATATTTATCTAGAATTATTTTAGATATTTTATTTAGACTTAGAGTTCTAGCATGTGAAGAAAGAGAAAGAGGAAAGAGCTTGAAGAAAGAAGTCTAATCCTACTTGGTTTACTATTCTTGAGGAGGAAGGCATGGTTGAGACTCCTAAGCACACTCTAACAAGGTTAATATGCTCTATATATTACTTTCACCCTCTCTTAGGGTTTTGAGCGTGCAAAACTACTAAAAACCAGTAGCAAATTCGATCAAAAGAAAAACACAAGGTGCAGATTTTGAGACTGTAAATTCTCTGGACAGCCCGCACAGATTTGATCATCGCCGAAGATCCGACCGTTGAATTTTGCTGAAATTTTCAGAGGGTGTTCTCAACACATAGTGCTTCAACGTGTTAAAATTTCACGTCAATCGGAGTTACGGATCTTCTGTTATCGAAGTTACAA